AGGAGACACGACAAACCCCAAAAAGGATGAGTACCAAATCTTTTACCGTGAAATCTAATTTAAAAAGGGGTGTCATTAATAAATAACAGGACCGCTCCTATTACGCGCTTGTTCTCATTTTTACAATCCCAAGTGGACATTTAACTACAGTGGTACTTTGGTACTCAGCTGGTTTGAAGCTTATTGGATTTGGTGTTCAAAACATTTTGACATGAACATTTTGATCCGGTACTCATCCTTTCTTTGATACCCAATGTACCAGCTAGAACTTGTCGATGTTGTGACTCATTACAGTATTTCTTATGGGAAAAAAAGATTTGGTACTCATCCTTTTTGGGGTTTGTCGTGTCTCCTAGAACCAATTAACGACAAGTACCAAGGTAGCACTGTACTTTCGTCCTCCAATAGAGAACAGGAGATTGTGATATCAGAGCAATTCCCACTGCCAAACTTTCTTGAACCCAGAGCTTTTTACATCCACCTATTCTTTCTTTAACTGCCAGTCGCTTCTCCTTCCCCAGAGCCACGGGGCCGGTTAGATTCAGAAGGCACCGACACCGATTTTCACGAGTACGACAGTCCCCACGTCTACGAGAATGGCATCACCCCTTCTGATGTTACCCCGGATCCAAGCTTACCGCCGAGTTACCCTCCCACTCCGCTGCAACCCTGGCGGGGGGACCCTCGGCGGACTTGGCCTCCCTTGGAGAACGGGGGTCCTCGCCAGCTCTTTCCCGAAGCCGCGGATATAGAGGAAGAGTGGGGTTCGCGGGGTAGTTTCCCATCTCGGACACCGCGGCTCGTTCCTGAGGGGTTGTGGGAAGGCGAGGAGGAACAGGGGCAGCTAAGTAGCTACGAAGCTGAGGAAGAAGATTATGAGAGGGTCCCTCAGCACCCTCAGCCAGGCAGCCCAGCTAGTGGCAGCTCGGGCAGTCTGCGAGAAGAGGAAGAGGAAGAAGAGGAAGAAGGGAATGCTTCTAAGACTTATCCCGGGGGGAACCAGGACGATACGGTACCCTTGGGAATTCCGGTTGATGCAGAACCCAAGAATGAGGAATCGTGCAGGTCTTCTCTTCTGCTGGAGGGATCAAAGAGTCTACAAGCAGTCCAAAGGGGGAGACAGGTAAGAGGTCAACACATTTTAAGGAGGGTTGGACACCTTAGATCAGGGGTGTCAAACTCGTGGCCTGCGGGCCGATTGCGGCCCGCAGGACAATATCCTGTGGCCCCCACCGTGATATGAAAGTATAATATTAGTGCGGCCCACAGGGGGAATGGATCTCTGAAGGAAGTCCTGCCCGCCGTTCCTCATCGTGGCTGACATTCGGTGCTAGGCTAAGCTACACCGACTCCATGCACACTACGCTTGTAACGGAAGTGGAAATGACGTCATTTCCGCGTGTGGTGGAAGCGGAAATGACATCATTTCCGCATGTGGCAGAAGCAGAAATGACGTCATTTTTGTGGAATCCCTTATGCGGCCCAGCCTCACCCAGACTCTGCCTCCAGCGGCCCCCAGGTAAATTGAGTTTGAGACCCCTGCCTTAGATGGATATTAGATTCAGGTCCTTCTGGCTAAGCTGAGTACAATTTATGATACCCCGTTTCCCTTAAAATAAGACCTACCCAAAAAATAAACCATGGCCTGATTTTTTAGCATTATCCTAATATAAGCCCTATCCCAAAAATGAGCCCTTGTTAGGGTCGTCAGTGGGAGGCGTGACTAGCACTGGAGGCAGCAAGAGCATGGGGACTGATAACCGTTATGGCGTCCCCAGGGTCATGTGATTTACATTCAGACACTTGAAAACTGACTCATAGTTTATGACGGTTGTTACAGTGGCCCAAGCAAAGTCGTGAAATGGGAGCAAAGCCCACTTAACAACAGTCTCGCTTAACAATAGAAATTTCAGGGCCAATTGAGGTCATTATGTCAAGTACTGCCTGTACTCAAAGTTACAACAGCCCTGAAAACAGGGACCTGTGACACAGTTGCACGTCCAACCAGGACTGGGTGCCCACACCACCCAATTGTAGGTTTGCACACTTGGCAAATTGTTGTCCTCTTTTTACGACGGGTGCAGCTGTATCCCCCCAGACCCATGTGCGCTATTGTTTGTGTCCTTCCCGGCTGGCTTCTGACAAACAAAAATCAATATGGAAGTCATCCAGAAAAAGCCACAAAGGCCCGATCACGTGGTGTCTTGCTTCATGACCGCACCGCTTGAATTTTTATTTTCCATGCCAATTGCGGTCGGTAAGCCGAGGACTTCCCGTTTTCAGTTGAATTGCAGTCGTGGGGGTGGGGGACATTCGGGGGAAGGCTGTAAGTTTTGCAAAACCACCCACCCACCCACCCAACATTGCCAAGAGCATCTCAACACCCCCCTTAAGAGAAAGTAGCCACCCCCTCTCTACTAGCACAATCCACGCAAACCGAAACAGTTCTTGCTTGATGCACACAGTTCTCAGAGATCTACAAGAAGTCCCCAAATCCACCCAACACCATTTTCTGCTTTTCCATAGAATGCCTTCCCACACCCTCCTCCCTGCAATCTGGACTAAACACCCCCCCACGTCCCATTTGCACAACCGAGGAGGGGCAAATCCTCACCCTCCCTTTTTTAAACCTCCCAGTTCTCTCCGTCCTGTTCATAAGACACACCGCCCCACCGCCGCCTCCAAGTATATCACTGCAAGCATATCCCTTCCCGACAACAAACAAACCACAGTTTGACCCTCTTGGTGGAACCGTGGGGTATCTACTGCCCCTTATAAAACACCCTCGGGGGCTTTTCACGGTGCTTGCCCTTCCTCCTTTCTCCCCCTCCCTCAAACCACGTCTGTTATTTTCATTTTTTTTTTTTAAATGTACTTTCCCCCTCCTTTCTTTCTGGAATACAGCTGGGAATAAGAAGCAGGAAGGATGGAAGGAGGGAGGGAGGGAGGGGGGTTGGGAAGAACCGACACCCCCCCCCCCGCATCCACAAGGGGATTGGCTAGCCGCTTTCCTCCCATTGCTAGGCAACTGCATCCTTTCTCTTGGCAACAGCATCCTCGTTGGTCCCGCCTTCTTCACTGCAGCATCGAGCCAGGCCTTGCCAGTTGGTCGGTCGGCACAACCGCAGTGGGGGGCGGGGGGGGGTGTTGGGAAGGACGGGTAGGGGGGGTTGGGGGACCGCCAGAACTGCAGGTCATCAATAATCCAGCAGTTTTGCTCTCGAGGGGGGCTCGGAGTTAGACTGGTCGGGGGAACAGCAGGAGCATAGGCCGTAATGTTATCCAGTTTGGTGAATGTGCCAAGGACAACATTATCCCCAGGCTGTGGCTGCCAAGCAGACCTGGGCGTCTGGGGGGGGGGGTGTTAATGTCCCTCCTCCTCCCTTCCCCCCCCCCATGCCTCTGTATCCCATATTTTATCCGTCTGCCCGCCCCGTCGGCCTGTGACTGCACGTAGAGAGCCAGAATGCTGGCTCAGGGAGAATTTTCTCGCTGTTGGACAATAGTACAGCTTGCACACTTGAAAAGAACAGGCGTAGCACGCTCAGCAAGTGGCGGTCACGGGTGTGGGTGGGAATCCTCCTCCTCCTCCTCCTTTTAAAGAAGAGATTAGACAAGCGTTTGTCTGGAATGGCGTAGGGTCCCCTGACCAGGGAGGAGGGGTTGGAGTAGAAGACCTCCAAGGGTCCCTTCCAACTCTGTTATTCCTCCTCTTCCTCCTCCATCTCTTTCCCCTTCCTCCTCCTCCTCCTTTTTAAGGAAGGAGTGATAGACAGCGATTTGTCCGAAATGATATAAGATGTCCCGCTTGAGCAGAGGAATGTTAAAAACTCAAGGCCTGGAAACAGCGAAGGACTGGCCTGCAGTGTCTACGCCAGCAAAAACAGGTCTGGAGGAGGAGGAGGAGGCACACGGAGCTCAGGAACCCCTTTTTCGCTGGCAGGGCTCTCGGGCTGCCACAGGTGCCCCTCCCAACATGAGTGACATCAAACTGTCCACGCCCACCCTGTCCACCCTCACCCTGTCCCCCAAGGTCAAACACAACCACGATGCAGCCCTCAATGAAATCAAGTCCGACTCCCTGGTCTAGAAGATCTCTGAGACCTCTTCCAACTCTGTTACTTTGGCATCCTCCGAGCCTCCCCGGTTGTCGCGGCTTCTAAATCTAATTTCCACCCCTCCGGGGCTTCAACTTAATTCTGGTTTTCAACAGAATAACAGAGCTGGAAGGGACCATGGAAGTCTTTGAGTCCAACCCCATTCTCAGGCAGGAAACCCTATGCCATTTCAGACAAATTGTTTGTCCAATCTCTTCTTAAAAACCTCCAGTGTTGGAGCACCCACAGCTTCTGGTGGCAAGGAGTTCCACTGATGAATTGTCCTCCCTGTTAGGAAGTTTCTCTTTAATTCCAGATTGCTTCTCTCTTTGATTAGTTTCCATCGTTTCTTGTCTTGTCCTCTGGTTCTTTGGAGAATAATTTTATCCCCTCTTCTTTGTGGAAACCCCTCAAATATTGGAAGACCGCTATCCTGTCCCCCCCTGGTCCTTCTTTTCATTAAACGAGACAATACCCAATTCCAGCAACCGTTCTTTATATATGTTTCAGTCTCCGGCTCCTTGGCTGTTCTTCTCTGCACTCTTTCTAGTGTCCCAGCCAGGGATGGTCTGCTACCAGTTCATTCGGGCAAACTGGTAGCTAATTTTATCATTTTTAATAGCCGGTTCGATGAACCGGAAAATCGGAACCCTGGCTGGCCCCTCCCACCCCTCCCCCTCCCAGGAGTCCCCCACAGGGCCCATTTTGGATGCCAGGTAAGTACAGGCCCCGCGTGGAGGCTCACGGAGGGCGAAAAACGGGCCTCCCGGAAGCTCCAGAAGGCCAGAAACGAGGACCATTTCTGGCCTCCAAACGGCCCCCGGAGCCTGAGGAGGCCGTTTTCACCCTCCCAAAGGCTCGAGGAAAACCTCCGGAGCCCAGACAGGGCAAAAACGCTTCCGCCCCGCCCCCCCCCGGTGCAGGAGGCCGATTAGGCCGGTGGTGGTGCAGGAGGCCGATTAGGCCACACCCACCATGGCCACACCCACCCAGGCATAGAACTGGTTGCCAAAATGTTTGAAGCCCACCCCTGGTCTCCTTTTTGTTGTTGTTGTTATATTATGGCAACCAAAACTGGATGTAAGTTTCCAAAGATGGCCTTATAAAGTGATATTAACCCTGATATATATATATATATATTTATTGTGATTTTCCCCCCTCCCTCTTCTCTTTCAGGGGTCTCACTTGCTGGTCGTGGCGGCCGTCCTGTTGGTGGATATTAGTCTGGCTTACCTGTTCTCCCTCCTCCTGGCTTGAGACAGGATGATGAAGGCAGGAGTAGCCCTCCCCCCCACCCATTTCCTCCTCCTCCTCCTCTTCCCCCTCCCAAAGAAGTTTGATAACAAACTCTGATCTCTGCCTCTCTTTTCCTACCCCCCCACCCCCCTATCTCTCTTTTTTCACATGTCTTTACTCACCCCAGCCATGACTCCGGCTGCCTCTTTAAATTTTCTAGATCGTTTACATATAAAGGGCTCTCTTTCTACTGGCGATTTTCATTCCCTCCCTCCCTCTTTGCTGCTTTCGCCCCCCCAAATAACATCTATCTCCTTTTTCCTGCTTCATTCATTCATTCCTTCATTCATTCGTTCGTTCGTTCATTTTATTTTTTTTCCCCCTTCAATTGTGGAACCTTTGGGCAACGAACGGTGAAATTTATTATATATATGATGCCTTTACATATATATATAAAGGCACGGGAGTAAAATTGAGCCAAGGTCCAAGGAGAAATTTTACTCTCCGGAGAATTAAATATTAGGATGTTTAGATTAGAGAAAACGTCAACATTCGGTGGCCGGTTTGCTTGTATCGAAGTTACAAACACACAGGCAAAACACACAATTCCTACACATTGAAGCTGTTGGTTCTGGGTTCTTCACCTCTGGCCTTAGGATTACAGGCAGTCCTCAACTTAAAACCAGAATTTCCATGACTAGGGAAGGTGGTTTTTAAATAAGGGAGCCGCATCTAATTTTATGGCCTTTTTTGCTGCAGTTATTAAGAGAATCGGACAGATGTTAAGTGAATCTGGCTTTCCCTCCCTTGATGTTGTATTGGAAACTGGCCGGGAAAGTGATCACAGGATCCCCAGGAATTTTGTTCACCTAACCTTGAGGATGGTCATAAGAGCGAGGACCGGTCATACATTGCATTTTTTTTCATCGGCCTTGTAACTTTCAACGGACTAGTTCCCGTGACCTTGAGGACAGTTCTTAAATGTGAGGACTTAAATACTTTTTTCAGCACTTTGAACGGTCGCTAAAATGAACGGTCATAAGTTGAGGACTTCCCATACAGGCAGAGAGACGGTTCCCGTTTCAACCAGGGGTGGGATTCTCTCCGTTCAGACTGGTTCGGCTGAACCCGTTGTTCCGACGATCAGCCCTCATTCGCTCCGACGAGCAGCTGCTGCTCTTTTCTCCGCTTTTATGTCTTTTTGTTACAGCACAGCTGATTCGCGCAGTAGAGCTATTTGCCGCTCCTCAGCTGTTTTCTTCAGCTGCAGTTGAAGGTAAGTATTAGCTTTTTTAAACCCGGAGCACGCATTCAGAGCGTGCATTTGGCACGCATGCGTGCGCTCACCGGACCGGTTGTTATCCCGGTTGAATCGCACCCCTGCTTTCCACACACAAAAGGTGGATTGTTTTTTCTGCCTTCCAACTTTCTCCAAATAACACCCGTCCGTCCTTAGAAAGGGTGCAAATCTGAGAAAATTCACAACGTTTTCGTGCCGCTCTCTTTATTTCTTTCCCTAACCTTTAATTCTCCCACCTTTTTTAAACCAACAAACCTTTTCCTTTCTCTCTTTGCTTGCTTCCTTTTTCTCGACCTCCTTCTTTTCAAAACAAACCGACAACGGGTGGGGAAAAAAGCCCCCAACCCAACCAACCAACAAACCAGACCGTCGCCACGCCACCCGTTTCCTTTTCCGCTTTTATAAACCTTTTTCTCGCAGCGTTTGAATACTTTAAAAACAAAACAAAACAAACAAACAAAAAACTTATAACTTATAACGAGAGAGGGCGAATGGGAGATTCCTGACGCCGGGATTAGGGCTGGGGGTGTGGGAGGGATAGGAGAGGAAGGGGGAAAAAAGAGGATATTTCTGGACCACGTTAACGAGGTGCCTCTTCGGGGAAACGGAAGGAGGTGAATAGGTCACAAAGCTGAGGATGTTTGCTCCTGGGAGAATCTCTTTGGGGTTATTCCAGCCCCGATTCTTGGGGGGAGGGGGGGGTTTTGCAAAATACGAAATGGAGAAATTGCAAAATTTCTGAGAATGAAGCACTTTAAACAGGCGTGGCGTTTCCCCCCCCCCCCGCCCCCCCACTATTCCCCTGCGAGAAAATTCACCAGCCAAGGAAGCAAAAGGCTCACGTTGTCAGGGGCTGGGACTTAGAGGGTAGGTGAGGGGTAAACAGGAAGAGATGATTTGCCTTCTAGAGGGTAAGCGTTTGACCCCCTATGGGGGAGAAAAAAATAAAAAAAGACAAAAAAATCCCTGAACTCAACAAGCTGTGCCTTTGGAGAGAGAAAAAAAAAGTGCAATAGAAGAAGAAAAAAAAAAAAGCACCTGGAACAGCCCGGATCCAAAAGGAAATGGAAGAAAAAAAATGTGTTTTTTTTTTTTAAAAATAAAATAAATAAATCCGGATTTTTCTAGGCTGCATCGCGTGCAATACAGAAAACTGCCTTCGGGATATAAGCAAGGAGAGGCAATTTTTTTTTTTTTTTTTT